TGACCATCTGTCCTGATTGTCCATAAAAAAGAAACATCATACTGTGTATTAGTTTACATAGAGCCTGTATACGGTAATACGTATATAACTATGCTCATGTGCTGAGCCAGGACTAATCTCAAGGTGTCCAACACACAAAGGAGACAGAACGGATTGACAATTATATAATGATATTCGGGAAAACGGCGCTGACGCAGTGCCCATTGTACAATGTCACAGTTGTTAAGGTCACACGATCGACGATAAGGAGGATTACCCTTATCTATATAATATTGATATTTGTGAACAACTCAATAGGGTATAACCAACATGGGTGTAACATGATGATGAGTATTATGACAGGTAGTAGCATGACACTTGAGTTCACATGATCTTCGTTATGGTCATTATTCGCAACATATCTTATAATCAAAGCTGGATAGGCATATAGCGAAGGCCTGATGATGATAATAATAGTAATAAGATATAATATTACTCTTCTAATTACTTGTAGTGCTGATAATGGGTATCTATAATCCATAGTGAACTCATCTTTATTAATTCTCCCAAATTGGAGATATACCACCTCTTCTTCTTCTTCGACCTCATTATCATTATTTAGTTGATGATGGACACTATTCTTATCATCATCAATTATGCTACTGGTATTGCTGTGGCGGTCCAACCGAATCAACTGGAAGTTCTTAACTGATGCCTTTGTAACTCGACGATTGAAATTGAGGACGAATGCTCTGAGATTATCGTTCCATTTAGGGTTTTTATTCACATACCTATAATGATGATGAAGAGTATTGGTTATCATCATCATCATCGTCATCACAGTATAACATTACATTTGTAGATCAGAAGGTAGTTTAGATAGTGTTGTTCTTGTTCTTGTTGTTGGATGCTGAGTAGTATTGTTATATGATGATGATACTACCACTAGTACAGATGATGAATATTATTGGAGGCACAATCTGGTACATACCATCTTCTCCTTCTTCACGTTTCCTGCTAGTCCTGCTAGTCCTGCTCATCGTCATCACTTTCTGCTTCTGACGTTGCCGATATTGAGGATGTGATGGTCCAACCTCATGAATAACGAGGCCCTTCTGAAACAATAATGATGATGATACTATAATTGATCCTACATAATGATGTCGCAACAGTAACAGTAAGAGCAGCAGCATTAGTAACAGTAAGAGCAGCAGCATTAGTAACAGTAAGAGCAGCAGCATTAGTAACAGTAAGAGCAGCAGCATTAGTAACAGTAAGAGCAGCAGCATTAGTAACAGTAAGAGCAGCAGCATTAGTAACAGTAAGAGCAGCAGCATTAGTAACAATAAGAGCAGCAGCATTAGTAACAGTAAGAGCAGCAGCATTAGTAACAGTAAGAGCAGCAGCATTAGTAACAGTAAGAGCAGCAGCATTAGTAACAGTAAGAGCAGCAGCATTAGTAACAGTAAGAGCAGCAGCATTAGTAACAGTAAGAGCAGCAGCATTAGTAACAGTAAGAGCAGCAGCATTAGTAACAGTAAGAGCAGCAGCATTAGTAACAGTAAGAGCAGCAGCATTAGTAACAGTAAGAGCAGCAGCATTAGTAACAGTAAGAGCAGCAGCATTAGTAACAGTAAGAGCAGCAGCATTAGTAACAGTAAGAGCAGCAGCATTAGTAACAGTAAGAGCAGCAGCATTAGTAACAGTAAGAGCAGCAGCATTAGTAACAGTAAGAGTAGCAGCATTAGTAACAGTAAGAGCAGCAGCATTAGTAACAGTAAGAGCAGCAGCATTAGTAATAGTAAGAGCAGCAGCATTAGTAACAGTAAGAGCAGCAGCATTAGTAACAGTAAGAGTAGCAGCATTAGTAACAGTAAGAGCAGCAGCATTAGTAACAGTAAGAGCAGCAGCATTAGTAACAGTAAGAGCAGCAGCATTAGTAACAGTAAGAGCAGCAGCATTAGTAAGAGTAAGAGCATTAGTAAGAGTAGCAGCATTAGTAAGAGTAGTATCTACCGGTAGGAATGGTCTGGCTCTTGACATCAACAAAGAGTTAGAAGGATCATCATAACCATCATCACGATTCTTATTCTTGTTGTTATTGTTGTTCAACATGTCCCATCCGAATAAGGGTATACACCATTATAAATGTCGATATGATCCTACTTACTATTTCGTTTATTATTATTATCCTTCAATAATGGATAATCTATGTTGGGTAATACAACATGCATTTGTCTAGGACCTCGAGG